GGAAAAAAAAAAAAAAAAAAAAAAAAAAAAAAAAAAAAAAAATGAGTAAAGGTTGTGAATAGACATTCCTCCAAAGAAGATATACAAATTCCAATAAGTTTATGAAAAGATGCTCAACTTAATTAGCCATCAGAAAATGCAAATCAAAACCATAGTGAGATACTACTTCACACCCACTCAGATGGTTACAATCAAAAAGATGGACAATAACAGGTGTTGGTGAGGCTGTGGAGAAAGTGGAACCCTCATACATTGCTGGTGATGGTGCAGCCACTTTGAAAAGCGGATTTTAGCTATTCCTCAAAAAATTAAATAGAGTTTCCTTATGACCCAGCGATTATATTCTTGGGTAAATACCAAAGAGAATTGAAAACATATATCCACACAAAAACTTATATGAGAATATTCAAAGCACTATTGATAATAATGAAAAAGTAGAAATAACCAAAATGTTCATCCTCTGATGAATGGATAAACAAAATGGATTATTTTGGAATATATGTACATTGTATATACAACAGAATATTATATAAAAATAAAAAGCTATAAAAAGAATGAAGTACTAAATCATGCTACATACAGCAGGGATGAACCTTGAAAACATGCTAAGTGAAAGAAAACAGTAACAAAAGGCCATATATTATGTCTAGAATAAATGAATCCAAAGATATAGAAAATAAGGTTGTAGTTGCCAGGGGTTGGGGGAGTCTGTAATAGGGACTGTCTGCTATTTGGTATGAGGTTTCTTTTCATACTGCTGAAAGTGTTCCGGAATTAGACAGTGGTGATGGTTGCACATATTTGTGAATATACTAAAAACCACTAAATTGTACACATTAAAAGGGTGAATTTTATGGCATGTAAATTATATCTGAAACCACACCTAACATTTGTATTGCACATTAACTTTCATATAGCATTTTTTTTTTTTTTTTTTTTTTTAAAAATAACCGGAAAGGGGTTTTTAACCCTTGACTTGGTGTTGTCAGCACCACACTCAGCCAGTGAGCGAACCGGCCATCCCTATGTGGGATCCGAACCCGGGGCCTTGGTGTTATCAGCACCGCACTCTCCCGAGTGAGCCACGGGCCGGCCCACATATAGCATTTTTTTTTTTTTTAAAAATAACCGGAAAGGGGTTTTTAACCCTTGACTTGGTGTTGTCAGCACCACACTCAGCCAGTGAGCGAACCGGCCATCCCTATGTGGGATCCGAACCCGGGGCCTTGGTGTTATCAGCACCGCACTCTCCCGAGTGAGCCACGGGCCGGCCCACATATAGCATTTTTTTTTTTTTTAAAAATAACCGGAAAGGGGTTTTTAACCCTTGACTTGGTGTTGTCAGCACCACACTCAGCCAGTGAGCGAACCGGCCATCCCTATGTGGGATCCGAACCCGGGGCCTTGGTGTTATCAGCACCGCACTCTCCCGAGTGAGCCACGGGCCGGCCCACATATAGCATTTTTTAAAAACCACTGATTTAAGGCAAAAGTAGTCAGATCAATAGAATATTTGAGAAATGTAATTTCTTGGAAAATTCTACAAATTTGTTTTTGCTCAACATATTAATAGCATACATGCAAATGATTATAACTGAAAACAGGTTTATAGTTCACACCATCATAGTCTTTCTTCCAGTAATGAAATCATCAATTACTGGACTACCACAAACTGTAGTGAAATGCCATTATATATTTGGACATAAGGTTGAAGGAAATGTTCTCAGGCCCTTGAAGGTATTCCCAGTGACTTATGCTAAACCATCTTTGACCCTGCACAACTTAAACCAGATGACAAGTTCCTTGATGAGAGGGCTCAGAATCCCAGTGCACTAATTTATGTGTGGAATGTTACTCAAGGGTAGTATGGAGCACGAAGCAGGTGCTTAGTGAGCATGAGCCGATCGACAGTTAAGAACTGGGGCTTTGGAGTCAGACCAAAATTTAAATCTCAGCTCCATTAGTTACTAGTGCCAGTGACCCTGAACAAATTATTTGACCTCTCTTAGCCTTAGTCTCCTTATCTGTAAATTGAGGCAGGGGGGAGAGGGGATAGCACCACCTACCTCATAGGATTGAATGAACTTATACCTATAAATAGTTTACCCCAGTGTGTAGCCCAGAGTAGGTGGTTGAAAAAGGTCAGCCACAGCTGTCAGTAACAAGCTCTTCTCTTCCTGCCCTGGTATTCCATTTCTTTGCAGACAGAGTGGGAAGCTTTGGAGCTGACAGATCACCAGTGGGCACTAGATGACGTCGAAGAAGAGCTCATGGCCAAAGACCTCCACTTTGAAGGCATGTTCAAAAAGGAATTACAGACCTCTATCTTTTGAAGACCAAGCAGGGATTAGCTGTGCAGGAACTTAACCTTGTAACTTTTGTTGGAGCTGGCGCCTCTCAGAATAAAAAGGAGGATGCAGGGGCTGGCGGGCGTGCAGCAAGGCTCGTTCTTGTCTGAGATGGGTTCCCCTTTATGTTTGAAACTAGAGGAAATAGGAGGAGTATACTTGGTGGCTATTTAAAAAATATTTTAAATTTTACTTCTGGTGACTCTAGTAATGACAGTCAGAGAAAGGGGGAAAACTCAAGCTACTGATAATATATAAAAATTTAGCAAAAATTCAGTCCTCAGAAGAAGCATTATCAATTATAGCTAATTACTATGTACAGTCAGTCTGACCTCTAACAACAGTAAATTCCTGTTTTCTTGGGATCCAAAAACCCTGCTTTTTACCTTTAATTTTTTGTTAGTATTTTTAACTTTCTTTACAAAAGTGACACATTTTCACTACCAAAAACTTAGAAACTATGGATTAGCAAAATGAATCTCTCTGCATTGTTCATTTTGAGCCTGCAGAATGACATAGAGAGCAAAAGTGTCAAAACCTTACTCAAACTCTTTTCAGAGTGACTACCCCAGGCCGGGACAGACTTAGCAAACCTCTTATATCCGTTAATACTGTCCAGTGAAAATTGGTGACCCTCAGGCACTGCAGGATTATCAAAAGTGCCTTTGGGGTCATCAAAGACAGGTTAAATAATACAAGGCTTTGATCCAGACTTCAGAATATGTCAAATCCATTGACAAATCAATGGTGCTGTACTGTAAATGGCTACTCAGTTGAACAAAAGACCTCATTTCCCAGTTATTCTGGACAAAAGAGTGTTCACATATCGCTGTAAGAAGGAAGAGAGGGCAGTTGCTGGCAAACACACAGGTGAGGGTTGCCCAGGAATAATTCTGTCTGGATTAATTGTCCCAGGGAAGTGGCAGGGTGCCATTTCTGTACTGAGAGTTGGATGTAACTTGCATGTTGAGCTCTGTAATCAAGAACAAATGACTCTTGACTCTACAAATTAAACCATCCTGTTTTCTCTTCTTTGCCTGTGAAAGTGTTGCCTCTGTGGATCACTGATGGCCTTCCGCCAATAGTCGTGAGTGTCTGGACCAGTGCTGGGGAGTCTAAAGTGAAAGAGATGTGACCGTTGCCCTCAGAGAACTTGTAAAAGGAAGACACAAAAGAGAGTGACCTTTTTTTGAGGTCACAGAACCTCTTTGAGAATCTGACTGAAGCTCTGACTCTTCCCTCTAGAGTAACACACGTGGGCACAGACACAGAGATTTCCCAGGTAACCCAGGCGCATTGACAGACCCTCTAAGGCCATTCATAATGACCCATAGACCCAGGTTAAGAAACCCTGACCCTTAAATATAGTTAAAATACTGCCTAGGAGCCAGCCCGTGGCTCACTTGGGAGAGTATGGTGCTGATAACACCAAGGACATGGGTTCAGATCCCTATATAAGGATGGCTGGTTTGCTTACTTCAGAGAGCGTGGTGCTGACAACACCAAGTCAAGGGTTAAGATCCCCTTACTGGTCATCTTTAAAAAAAAAATAAATAAATACTGCTTAAACCAAATATTAAAGGAGCAAAGATTCACAGATAAACTGATCTTTGACCTGGGCCTTGGAAGAAGGGGGAACAGAATCAGCAAAGGTCTGCAGATTAAAATGTCCACAATTCATTGCACCCTGAGGAAGTGGGGAGTGGTACAGTATGTATCGGGAAGGTCAAAGTTGGGCAGGAATGAAAATAGTAATTGGTGATTGAGTGGTGCCACCCTTGTGATTGAGTGACTGAGTGGTGTTCCTACAAGGCAGCATCAGGGCATTTGAGTCTACTTCTTCACCCACACAAGGTTTGCTTTTTTCCCTGGTATCAAAGTTGAGTGGTTGAATGTGTGACTTTCCTGACCCATCATAATGGTGGTAAATGCGCATGTCCTTGGTACCAGCAAGTTAAGTGGAAAAGCCAAGTTTGTCTTAGCAGACTCTTCCTAGAACCAGCATATAAGTTCAGAAAGCAGTGCTTATTGTGTGTGTTTCTTGGAGTTCAATTTGGAACAGGCTATAAATTAGCATTTTATCTTTCCCATTAACCTGGACTTATCACCTAAACCATTTAGGACACCATAAATATCCACTTAGTGACCATGGATGGTATAGAAAATACTATGCAAGGAAAGCTAAATATTGATAGTCAACTGTACAGCACAACTCAGAAAAATAACTTAGATTTGAGGACAGTAGGTAAATGTGCACTTAGGGGCAAAAGTCAGCTTGGTTCCTCTGTTCAGTGTGTAAGGTTTTTGATGGGCATGTGTATATGTGAAGAACTGGGTTAGCAATATTGCAGTTGCAAGTGACAGAAACCGAACTCGACCTGACATAAGCAATTAAAATAAAAAGGATGTTAATTGACTCAGTAACTACCTCCCCACTCCAAAAATAAATAAATAAATCAACCATCTCAACTACCCACTGAATTTTGAAATAACAGGTCATCACAACAGGTCATCTCCTGGAGTCATGAGTTTTTCATTTCTACGTGTTCTTTTACTCTGGCTTGTTTTCTAAGACTTAAATCCCAGAAAATCAGAATGTGTTCTCTTTCTTGTCAACGATGACTCATTTAACGGTCTTTTCTATATCAGAGACAGAAATATATTTCCACTGAAATTTTCTTTTTTACTCTGCAACTCTTTAAGGTAACCAGGCACAGAAAGACAAAAACTTTCCTTTGAAGAGTAAATGTTACTGGCACTTGGTCCTTTTCTTTTTCTTTTCTTTTTTTTTTTCTGTTGTTCATAAAAGTACAAGTCCTAAGATTCGAGATATGCTGTTGAATTCTATCTGGTTTCCTATCCTAAACAAACCATAATTGGAGGTGCCAAATTAATTCTAAACAAATTTGTTTCTGGGCACCTGCTGGGGCCATGGGCCTTTAATCTTCACATACAAAAATGTTTATTCGCCTCTGCTGGAAAGAAACACAGGTTGGAAAGTCGAAGGTTAGTCAGTGGAGGAGAAAAATGGGGTGCAAGCTCTCAAGATGATGGAAGAAAGAAATGAACCCTGCACATATTTTCCCTGGCAATCTGAGAGAACTGCCAAGTTTGGGTCAGAGGTCTAATTTAACTAAGAGTACCATCTTGCTCTTTTTAGGTTACCACAATCTCGGTGAAGCAGGTGATCGTTCCTGACTTAAAAGAATTTCCAAATTACAAACCCAAAATGAAAGCATGCCACATAATGCAAAATGTGAATATCCAACAATTGCTTGAAATTTAACGGGGTGTCAAGTCTGTTTATGATATCAATACAATTTTATTAAGAAAAAAAAATTGGGGCTGGCCAGTTAGTTCAGTTGGTTAGAGCATGGTGCTGCTAACAGCAAGGTTCAAGGTTTGATCCCTGTCCCAGCCAGCCACCAAAAAAACAAAAAATAATTAAAATGTCCAGTGATCAGCTGGCTTCAAGCACAACTGGATTAATGGCCTCAAATGATGTCATTATGACTCAGTTGCTTTCTCAAGTCTGCTTTCTTCTATTCTCAGGCAATCTGTCTTCTCATGGAGAAATCAGCTTAGTAACCCCAGTGAAAAGAAAGGGCCCCTTTCTTTAAACTTTCAGCAAAAGTCAGGATTGCATCTAACTGACCTGGGTTGGGTCATGTGCATATTCCAGGAACTGCTTAGCCTCTCCTAAATAAACTACAATGATTAGGGCCGGCCTGTGGCTCACTTGGGGGAGAGTGTGGTGCTGATAACACCAAGGCCACGGGTTCGGATCCCTATATAGGGATGGCCAGTTAGCGTGGTTCTGACAACACCAAGTCAAGGGTTAAGATCCCCTTACCAATCATCTTTAAAGTAAAAAATAAATCATCTTTAAAGTAAAATAAACTACAATGATTGAAGCGGGATGGAGTGATTCCCCAAAGGAAAACGGGTTCTCTTGTCAGAAGAAAGTGGCATGGGTACAAGGCAAGAAAAATAATGTTTTACCCTTTAATCACCAACTGTCTAGAATGTTCCCAAAAGGAGGTACTGCCCCTGTCCTCAAAGGTAATGCAGTCTTCATTTACTGGATTTCTATGATGTGCTCAGTGCCATGCTAGATCTTTTCAGATCTTTCTGTTCATTCAAGAAATATTGAGTGTGTGTTGCAAGGCATTGCACATGAGCAAGACTCACTCACAAACCTCTGTGTTGGAGGCCAGGACAAGGATGGTGCGAGGGAGGCTGCAGGAATGTCCTGCAGGTCATCCAACCAAGCTGTGTGGGCAGGGAAGCCTTCCCAGCAGAAATGTCATCTCAATTAAGATGTGAAGGATCACAAGGAATGTGCCAGAGAAATATACAAAGAAAGGCTATTCCAGGCAGAGACAACAGTGTGCACAGAGTACCAATAGCAAAGGTGGTGGTGGTTTTCAAGAAACTGAAAGACCTGCATGACCCTGAAGTGCAGAAAATAAACGTTGATGAGCATTGGATTGTGTACTTTAAATGGGTGTATAGTATGGTGTGTGAATTATAGTTCAATAGGATTGCTTCAAAAAACCAACAAAAGAAACACATGACCTGGCAGCAGTAGTGCCAGATGGCAGAGGATCTTGTAAGTCATCCCGCAGAGGTGGGAACTTGATCTGGTGGTGGCAGCAGGGAGACTTTGGGAGGGACTGAAGTTAAAGGATTTGCTGCTGGGCAGGGAGGGGCAGGGAGGGGCAGAGGCAGGTGTGAGGAGTGTTGGAGTGAGAGTGGATGGGAGTGAGGTCATGGAGAGAGGGATGGCCTTGAGGCCATGTGGACAATTGGCTTCTGCTTTCTTGCACTCACTGCATGGCTTTGCATAAGGCACTTCCCCTCTCTTGGTCTCCCCATCTGTCAAAAGGGGATCAGATGGTGCAGCCAGTTTGGGAAAGTCTGGCAGGTCCTCAAAAGCTAAAACATCAAGTTTCCATGTGGAATTCCCAGCAGTTCCACTCCTAGGTAGATAAAACCGTCGGGTACTGCTGATCTTGAGCTGAATGATAAGTGGCTAAATGATGAACCAATTCATCTGCTCACTTAGAAACTCAAATTGGCCTTATATTTATTTTTTATTTTTATTTTTTGGTTGCTGGCTGGCTGGTCCTGGGATCTGAACCTTTGACCTTGGTGTTACAACACCACACTCTAACCAGATGAGCTAACAAGCCAGCCCAACCTTGGCTTATTTTAAAGAAAATATTTTTGTCTGTGTATGAGTTTTAAATGCAGAAACTGAAACGGGGACTTACTATTGCCTTTAATAACTTGATGCCACCAGAACAGATCAAGCATAAGTAAATGCTGCCATGTAGACCTGCTCTAAGAGGAAGACACCAGAATATTTATTGCAACTCTGTAATAATTACAAAAACAGTAAACAAAAGGTAGGCAGGCACGGAGAAAGAGGCAATAATCTAAATGTCCATCAACAGGGTATGAGTAAAGAAAAATGAAAACACATGTCCACCCAAAAACTTACACACAAATATTCATAGCAGCATTATTCATAATAGCCTCAAAGTAGGAAATAATCCAACTGTCCATGAATTAAAGAATGGATAAATAAGATACGGTATATCCATACAATGAAATATTATTCAGCATTAAAAAGAATGAAGTACTGATGCTACGACACAGATGAACCTTGAAATATTTTTTTTTTTGAACCTTGAAATATTATACTAAGTGAAAGAAGCCAATCTCAGTAGAGCACATACATAATCTCATTTTTTACGAAATGTCCAGAATAGGAAAATCCACAGAGACAGAAGGTAGATTAGTGATGACCAGGGCTTGGGGAAGCAGGATGGGAAGTGATTGCTAATGTGTAGTGAAAATGTTCTAAAACAATGTGGTAGTAGTTGCACAACTCTGTGAATATACTAAAAACCACTTCAAATAGGTGACTTATGGCCTGTAGATTAGATCTCAAAGCTGTTCCAAAGGCAAAGGGGAGAGCTGGCCCGTGGCTCACTCGGGAGAGTGCGATGCTGATAACACCAAGG